GTAAGTTTGATGATTGAGAAGATAATCTATCTCTGCCTTGAGTTGAAATGGAAAACCATAAGGAAGGGATCATTTGGGAGCAACATTGAAGATTGGAAGACTTTGATTGCTTCAATTATGTGGTGTAGATGTTTGGAATTCATTCTAGCCTATGGACTGTATACCCCGGCACCTGGTGAGAGCTTGATAGGTGCTACTTGGTATTTACCACTAGCAATTGGATTCACACACACTGACAGGAGTAGGAAGCATTCAACTTATCATGTTGTAATAGCAAGTTCATTAGACCTTAGTTTTTTTATCTTTCTAGTAGCTAGTAATTTCTTGCAACTTATATTTTATTTTGGAACATCTTGTAAGCTTTGAAACCAATTTGGGGTTTTATTTATATATTAGCCACTAGGTAGCCTGCCTAGTGGTATATTTGCTATAAAAAACTATTAGCCAGGGCTAAATATACTCTCCATCCATATAGCAGTTGAAAATGGCCCAACGATTTCACCCACCTGAAAAGTTCCCAAACCCACCATAAACCCTTTTTCATATTAAAAAAAATCTATCTTAAATTTTTTTTACCAATTTATGAGAATCACAAAGAAAGAAACTATTTCTTTTCTTCATTTTGTTGTAATTCCTTACTGATAATATAATATTGCATTGTGCATATATAGATAGATCTATATACATACAGAAAAATCATAAAATTGCGATAAAACAAAAGCAACTAAATATCATAAATGAAAGTAGGCTAAATATCATGATTTTTTTTATAGATCTTCTAATTAAAAATAAAACAAGATTTTGGTCATTTCAATTTTCATGAAAGAACAAAGCAGCGAAAGCTGGCATTCTAAGAAAAATATTAGACTCAAATTGAGATTATCCATAAATAATTAATATTGACCATTAGGAGTAATAAATATGGATAATTTGATTTCTTATTTCTTATGAAGGATTGGATGTCCATTAACGAATGGTCAGTCACTCGACCAATATTGCCCTATTAATTTCGAGTTAATTTGATCACTTGGGTGTTCACAAAAATATTAGGTATTAATATTAAACAAACATAAATAAGATGGAGAAAGTAAAATAAAAATATCCGAAAAAATTATTTTCCCCGGTGAGATTTTATGTTTTCCGGACGGGTTAGTATTTGGGCCGGGTAAGTTAGAAAATTAGGTATTTTTGGGGGGTATTTTTGAATGGATAGATGGATAGAGTGCGTATTTAGCCCTGGCCAGTAGTTCAAGGACGGTTTTGTCTCTTTTCTATTTATTTAATTAGATTGGACGAGTAATAAAACGACACATGGAATTTAAATAAAAAAATTTTAACTCAAATTGATTATTAGACATAAGGCCAGAAGAGCCCAAAATGGAGGATATATTAATCTCTTTGCTAATAGTTCAGGGACAGTTTTGACATTTTTTCATAAATAATAAATATTGTGTAAAGGAGATTATGTATCACTGTATAAGCAAATTTGTATTATTCGATAAATTATGAAAGTCGTTTAAATCTAAGTATTTGGTTAGTTGGTAGATCTTCTAAGATGAATCTTCTGTCTTTCAAAACCTTAAAGTTGCATGCCACAAGTAAAAACAATAATTCCTTTATTGATGGCTAGCTCTGCTCTTTTCTTTTACTAGTTGGTAAGTGTATCCTATTTTATTAAGCGGGTCGATAATTACTAAATTAGAAGGTGTTCACTCCCGCTAAAGAAAAAGCAATTCTTCATTCAATTTCTGTTCAAAATTTTGATCTTACCAAATTACTTTTCTCTAAGGTTAAATAGCCAAATTTCTCATACTTCTTTTTCTAGTTTTCTTTTTTTCTTTTACGTCGAGCTTCCAAAAGCCACCGGAGAGGGAGAACAAACAACCGATGGCTAAAGATCTTGAATAAAGCATTGATAGCTTTGTAGAGGAGAAAAACTTTGATTTTTCCCGGGGGTGTTCCTTACTATCAATTCTTGACCTTTCCAACAATCAACCATGACTTAAAACAGCTCTAAAATTGGCATTTCCAATTGTGATTGGGATCAGCCTTAGCATAAAATCTGTGAGTTAGCCGAAAGGCTCAGACCTAATCGTAAAACCTTGATTGTTCTATTGGAGTTACCCCCTGAAGGTAAAGTGAAACTTAACACTGATGGGAGCTTCCTTCACTCTTCTGATGTAGCAGGTATGGGAGGCACTGTCAGAGATTGCAGGGGGAATATAATAATGGCCTTTGCAGTCCCTAAAAGTTGCAGCAGTAACGATATGGTTGAAGCTCATGTAGCCAAATATGGTTTGGAATGGTGTATTCAACAGGGGTTTGGTGATATCATTTTAGAGATTGATTCTCTAATAATTGTCAATATGTTTATCAAAAACACTATGGAGAACTACAAACTTAAAGGTATCATTCAATAGACTAAGCAGATGTTATGTCAAGCAAATATAGAAGTTAGACACTGCTTGAGAGAAGCCAATCAAATGGCAGATGGCCTAGCAAAACATGCAAATACTATACAGGAGGGGCAGGATTCTTTTTGCATTTCAAGATCTTCTGAGAGATGCTAAAGAAGCATACTACTTGAATAATGGCAACTACCTAGTATGAGAATAAGATATGATAAGGCAAATTTTTATGTTAGTTAAGTGTGCTTTACTTCCTTATTTGCAACTGTGTCAATAACTTCATGTAATACTGCACAGAACTTATTTTGTTACTGAGGCAAGGCCACATCCTCCTCATGGGTCAGATATACTATTAGCAATGAAAGCCCAGATATACTGGGAGCTTTATATAAATAAAAAAAGGAATTTTTATCTCCTATAGAAAAAGTTAATACCATATTTGTTTTAAATAAATACCATTTAAAAAAATTATATTCTATAGATACCTTTTAATGTTTATAGCAAAATATCTAATTTTGGTTACCTCTTACTCCTAAGCCACTAAATACGCTATTCAGTTACACTATTTTCTTTCTCTCTCTAGTTTGATACATGTCATTCTCTTCCCCCATCCCCTGAAAACACGATGCTCAATCTCAAAATTCCTGTCACCCATATTACCTACGTTCTCTCCGATCCCAATTTCTCCAATCCCATCGGACGTTGCTTTTTATTAGGAGAAAAGGTAGAAGAGGAGAAGGAGAATTTGTAGAGAGTTTTCAATAATGGAAGTCCATAACGTGGCACTGCCACTCTCATGATTCGCCGACTGTGTTGGCAAAGTTGCTGATTTATGTTTTTTTGTTTGTTATAAACCGAAGAGATGAATTGTAATGCTCTTTATTTCTCTTTTAGGAATTTTTTACATCTCTTTAACAGAGTCCATATTCGCCACCATTGCTCGATGGCGGATTCGCCGAAAATTAGGGTTTGTTCTTGAACAAAGACGACGGAATTTGGGGTTGAGCAACTTGAATTTTCTATTAATATATTTCAATGTATCTCGTTGTATTTTCATGTATTTATTGTCTTTTTTTCATTGTATTTCAATGTATCTCGTTGTATTCCATATATTTCATTGTATTCAATGTCTCATTGTATTCCATGAATGTATTCATATATTTTTTAATGGGAAAATTTCACATAAGAATAACTGGGCTCCCTACTTTTCAATTTTATAGCTCATATTTTAATTTACAACCAACTAGCCTAAAAATAATAGGCTAATACTCAACATTCAACTCCAATAGGTTCTCGAAATTACTATTTAATTTTTAAAAAAAAATTCTCAAGCTTTTAAGTTAATTTTCAAATCATTAATTGTGACTCAAATATTAGTTCAATAAACCAAATCCATTTGGGTGGTGAAAATTAGATTTTTAACAAGCTTAAATATGTGGGTTTAAATTTCGAATTTGATTCTGTGAGAAAGTTGGAGTGGATGTTATTTAGAGTTGTTAGAAATAGTATAAAGAGATTATATATAAAATTTGAAGTCATTTAATGGAGATTTGGACTGGTTTTGAACAAGAATTGCAACTGAAAATCGTGGAAGAAGTTCGTCTACAGACGCTTGTTTAAAGTTGTATAATAGTGTATAAGATCGTGTTTATGCACTCATATACACTATTATACAAGATTATACATAGTTATACAAAAAACTGATTTCGTCTTCTTCTTTGCGTCTTTTCTGAAATTTAACTTAAATCTTGCTCAAATCTACTCCAAATCACTTCAAATTTAAACTTTGAACTCCTTTTGATATTTTCAATCAATTGGAACAACACCCAATCCAAACAACGAACAAACTCAAAAAAACCTATTTTCGAAAGCAAAACTTTGAATGACCTTCAATGGTGGACTTCTACTCTTCAATTTCCTTACATTGCAACCAAGTGACATAAGGGGAGAAGCAGAAAATACACTGCCCCTTGAAGCATATGTAGAAAATGTAAGAAGAAGATAGTGAAACCAATGGTTGTGAGAACACAAATTTAACTCCATAGCTTTTAAAAGCAATGGTTGTAAGAACACAGATTTTGAGTTTGCTAATGCTTTCAAAATATGTACAATATGGATTAGGTTGGGTAAAACTTAAAAATATGAGCCATTTTTTGTTATGGTGTAAAGTCGGTGCATTTTCTTATAATTCTTTTAATTAATATAATTTATGTATTCAGATGTATTATCTAATTTCTCTGAAGATTGCTATATTTTTGGGGTGTTTTTCGGTTGAGAAATTTTTTAACTGAAAATACAAAATTTATGTGTTATAATCAAGTTTGTTGAATTATATTAGGAATCTATTATGTTAATTGATTCACTTACCATTTAAAAACAGTGTAATCCCCTGTTTCATGCCGTGAATACAATCAAATACAATAATCTATCCAATTGTAATCATATGTTTCACGCCATGAATACATTCGAATACACTCGAATACAACAACTGATTAGCTGGACTTCCCTGATTCACGCCTATTTTTGCTATTGTATTCATGAATACAGTAGTTTAAATACATCTAATACATCTTATAACAAGAGAAGCTGTAATATAGCAAATGGTATCTATAGATAGCTAATTACCACTAAAAGATAGTGTTTTATGAAAATCTCATAAAAAAACCATAACTCAATAATATGGTTCGCTTAGCAGAGAAGTTGAAATGTGAAATATTACACGCTGGGGAAGAGGAAGACCATTAAAAAATAACTAATGCAACCTTGTCAACTCTTCCACTCTCTTCATTAGTTCCTCAACAGGAACTGCCATTGCTTTAGAAATATCTTCCATCCGGCTCCTGCTAAGATCTAGGAATGATTCAATCAAATCTCCGTCAAGAAAGTTTTTAGCTTCTACAGTTTTCTTCTCATTGTAAAACGACCTCCACTGCTCATGGCTCAGTCCGCCTACACCCTTTATCACTTTCCTTAAGCTTGTCTGCAGCTTTTCCAAAAATAAATACTGATCATGAGGAAGCGAGGCAATGACCCCAATAACACCATTCACTGTGCCAAATATAACGGTAGGTATCTGGCCAACATCTGAATCTGGCAATCGCATGACAAGTGAACCGTGTCTAAACCTATTAACAAATTCACCAAGGTGGTATTCACCAACCACTTCAAGACGGCTGCGCTCTTCATCTGTAGCACCCTCACTATTTTTCCTGACCGTGAAAAGGTTAAAGTTGTTCTCCGAACCAAGATAAATGTCATCGTCGAGAATCTCGACAGCTGACATCCAATTTGCATTATAGTCCCGGGCTCGCTCCTCTATAGCACCCTCCTCGTGCTAAATAGGAACAATATTGTGAATGTCAGCAATGACTTCTTATTGAAGTAAAGACAAATTAGGTTAAGCATAAGAAACTGGTAATTGAGAGTACAATTGTAGCTTAACTTTCTAAAGCATTAGAATATTATATTTACTTACAAAAGTTACCTTGAAAATCAGTAGAGAAATGGACTTCATCAAATCACCAACGACAATAAAATCCCCACGTGTTTGAACATAAAGAGCCAATATATGACCATGGTGTCCACATTNTATCAAGATCGTAATTTGCCTTAACCACGTCAGCACATCACCAGTCTCAACAAAAAAGAAGAGCCAGAAAAAGTGGGCATGGTGATGGAAAGATGATAAAGTTCAACCAATAGGTATGTATCAGATGAATTTGAGGAAAACAATATGGCTCAAAACCCAAAATCTACACAAATCGATAGTTCATCACAAATCACAGGATCTAAGCAACAATTACAATTAGAGAAACTTTTATCAATGAAACTTACCTTGGTAGGTTCATTTTCCTCTGGCATCACATAAGCAGTGCCAACGCAATAATACACATTACTGTCATCAGAAAAGGAGCAGCTAAGTATGGAACAACCATATTCAAATTGGTCAAGGGGGTAAGTTGATATGAACTCAAATGTCTGATCATCTAACAGGCGGACAAAATGCACTTCAGGATCATCTGCATTCGACTGAGTATACTTGACGCTGCATAGAGCAAATGTCCTGGTCTGCTCTTGATGGCTGATCCGCCGTGCATGCTCCCCGAGGGGTATTGAACGGATGTGAAGCTTTTGAATTTCATCAATAGTGCCAATTGTTAACTCTCCTTCTTTTGCAATTGCGAGGCTGTTGACAAAAGAGAAATAACTATTAAAGCTCTTATGCATAGAAAATATAGGACACAATTAATAAAAGATACAGAAAATTGCAACAATTTATGATTTTCTAACATTCTTTGACTGACAGAAATGGAAGATCTAGCAAAAATCAACTCTAACATTAGCTTGTAATGATATGTAGAAGACATTTTAATTCTTTAACATGTTGACCCCAGTAATAGGTGTCTGAGGGCTGAGCAAGCAATTCATTCTCCAAAATGTAATTAAACACTTAAATCAATAGACAGAGATAGAAATTTCCAATAGAGTACCACATTCAATTTTTAAGTCAACAGACGCAATGTTGGCAGTAAAATTGAAGAAAAAGAAGGAACAATTACCTGTCTGGAAAAGCTGCAACATTGAATGGGCACATGTGACTAACTTCTTTTAGATTTACATTGCTATAAAGCAGCTTCTTGTTACTGCTGTAAATAACTGTGGGCCTATCGGAGGCAGCAAAGACGTGCGTAGCATCTTTAGATGAGAATGTACGAAGTGTTATGGGCTGGGTTCCAAGAGACACTTTTTTCCTGTCTGTCAGCTCACCAGTACTCATGCTCAATACATAATTCAAGAGATGACCATCTCCCAAAGCACATAGTAGATAAGATATCTGAAAGAGAGAGTTTTAGACCCCCAAAAAAGGAAAGAAACAGAGGTAAGAGAACATATTGGAGGAGGGCAGCATAAAAAATTTCATGGCTATTGCCTGATCCATTCAAAACCCTATTCCAGTATCAGTCAATCAAATCTGCTGGTGTATACTTTCTCTCAGTCTTGCCATCCAACTACACTAGTTCACTTGATGAAAGATGAATTGTACCCAAATTGGAAAGAAACATAATCTAGTTTAATGCTTCCAAGGATTCCTACTGTTCATTGATTACAGCAGCTTCAGGTCTTGATTTTATTTCATTTTATTTTCTTGAATAACCATAGCACAATAATAAATGCTTCAGTGTTGATGTTTCATTTTTGGATAAAGTAATAAATGTCATTAAAAGAAGGGCAAAAAGCTCACTCATACTAGTAGTATATCAAAAAATAGAAAACCTTACAAGAAGACATGGTTTTCCATGAAAGACACCTAACCTAATCTTCTACAGACTACAAGTAGGAAGCTCGTGGGTGCACCCCAAAAAGAAAAAAGGGAAAAGAGACTATTTCTCAAATGTACAAGATCTTTCTCTAGTCCATCAAATGCTCTCTTGTTCCTCTCCATACGCTCCACATAAGTGCTAGAGGAGCATGATTCTAGAGCACAATTGACAACCATCCCAACGATAACTCATGTTTGGCTATAAGCCTATAGACAGAGCTTTATCAAAGAAATTAAAGAATAAAAAAATCTATAATCAGAGACCAGAAGGCAACCCCACCATTAGCCCAGTTGTTTCCCTGGTTTCTGCCCAGGGAAGCCCAAGATATCAAACCCAAAACCCCTGTGCTTGTCATTCCCCAAAAAGAAAACGGGTAGTTGAGGCATACAAGGCGACTAAAGATAGAGGACATACCCCTTCGAAGGAACACATAAGAACTGAACGAGGAATTATCTCCCCTCCTAGCTGTTCCTTTGTAATGAGATTCAAGTCGGGAAGTGAATATATCCTGACACTTATGTCTGTCCACATTCCAACTGCTGCAATTTGACTATAGTTTGGATTCTCACCAATTGGATTTATGTCCAGGCATGAGATATCATAATCCAACTTGGCATATTTTACTTCATTTAGCACCCCATCACCAATTTCTAGGTAGACCAGATGGCCACCCCCAGTTGCCAACAGTACCTGTAAAAGAAAAAATAGCAGCACATGAGCTAATCGGCAGAAGAGTGGATTAACAAACATTTGCAACTAACAAAGGTAAACCATGACCCCCCCCCCCCCCCCCTCACAAACAAAAAGGAAAAAGAAATTATAGCTTTCAACAGACATCCTAAGGTGTCAGTGGCTGCCACAATTAACCAACATCCTGGTGAATCGTGAAATGGTTCTATTGAGCAATCTGAAACATATTCCTTTTATTTTACAATTTATTAACAATTTCTGCTTCTAAGTTTAACTAAAGAACAAGCAAAGAAATTCAAATAATTCTATTAAGTGATTTTACTATTTAAGTCTTTCATGTTCTCCATAACTTTGAAAAACTAGTTACTCATTTGCTCAAGATTTCTTCAACTATATTATTGAGAGGTCTAAAGAAGCCTATCTCTAGCAAATTATGTTTAATATTCTGAAGGAAATCACAACTCACTCTTGTTCCACAAGCTGAAGTGGTCTATGTATTAGCTTAAAGATTAGGCAGGTCCTAATTCATATTCAATTTTTAAATCCGGAAATTGTGTCACCCATTTGGCTTTATACAATAACTCTTACGCATAGAAAACAACATAGATCAAAAAAATATAAACTCCCTCATTTCCAGTTTATGTGAAGCTATTCTTTTTTTAGTCCGTTCCAAAAAGAATGACCCCTTTCTTAATTTGAAAAAAATTTAACTTAAATGCCCATTTTACCTTAATGAATAGCTTTTATAGCAACAAATATATTACCAGATTTAAGATCAAAGTTTCAGAAGCCTTACAACCACAGTCCACACAAACGTTATGGTATATGTTTAAGACCATATGTACCTTATTTAAAAAAAAAANCCTTTGTTGGGATGCTACTAACTTGAATCTATTCTTTCATCTTATAATCTATTATATTGATGGAAGATGATACCACCTTGCATTTCTAGGGCAGCTTGGAAGGACAGAAACCGATGCTTTGAAGACCAGAACTCAACTGTTATTTGCCAAATCGAGATGTCCACAAAGGTTAAATTTGTGTCATGGCTTTTAGAATAATAATGCTAATTCCTTTGTGGACTCAAACATTCTCTACATTAGAAGGAATCCGAGTCTTTATCTATACATACATATGCACTTTCCTAGTACACAATTTTATTTAGTCTGTTTTTTTGATTGGTAAGAGTAAGAAAATCTTCTTAGTACCGTTTAATGAAAATTTTCACGTTATTTATCAAAAAGAATCTATGAAACTGATGAATTATGTATTTAGACATTCTTTGTTACTAATGTGTTAACAAAACAAATAAAGCACATTCTTTGTTACTAAAGTAAAAAATCATATAAAGCACATTTTTTGTGTATATATAATTTGTGGCATATCTGCCTAATGTTCAAAAATTTCATTGTGTTGTTTCTGCGTCGGTATCCAACTCTGTGAGGCTGTTATTTAGCTTGTTATTCCGTGTTTCCTGATTCCTGGCAGAGATTCACTTTTAAAGGTGAAACCCATCTTTTGGTCAAACACAGCACAAAGGTCAAACACGGCACATATTGGAAACAAGACCTTCTAGGGTAAATCAATCACTAGATTGTAACCTAGTGATGATTTTCCGTAAACTGATGTATAAAAATATAGCTATAGATAGGATGGTCACAAATATGAAGGAGAACAAGAGGTCAAGGAAATTGGGTTTTTTCCAAAGTCAAAAGAAGAAATCAAGTATCATAAACTTAAAAAAGACAATACAGTTGCTATTAACTTACGAGCTCCAGTTCAAAATGAGTTCTGCACTTTGTAAAAGTAAATTCTATGAGCACAATAAAAAGATTCAGTGTTATAAAATAATCGAAGTATAGCTTTCCTTTTCTAAGTCAAAAGCAATGGTTATTGCAACAAGAACTAATCACGAAAATTAGTAATATCTGGGGAAAATATACTTCATTCAGTTGGTATACAAAAAGATGTCACTGTTTAAAACAAGAACTTGGCACCAACAAAGAAAATGAGAGTAAATGTCCCAAGAAATAAGATCTTGAAGCTACATAACCTAAAAAATGCATAATTGTGCATTGGAATCTGTGTCCAATCGCCACAAGCATGTAACAACCAACAGCTGTCATTGTCATAGTTATTCGGTCTCTTGTTTTTTCCTGGACGGGCAGAAAAACTGCACAACCATGATATATAAAAGCTATTCGACATTTGTTCTAAAACCAATCATCAACAGGCTGTTGCCTGTCTCAAACTATTATGAAGTCATGGATAAATGCAAGAGGTAAACCTGAGTGGCATTAGCAGTTGCAACATTGACTGAGTAGCCGGCTGGAGCAAACCATTCGTTTTTCAGATCTCTAGAGATAGAGCTGACCAATCTTACAGAGTTAGAAGTAACCTGCATGACAATTTATGCGCAACTATCTTTGAATACAGAGTGTCTAATGTATTCAGCAAGAAATATAAAAGAAGCTTTCCACAGATGGTTAATGACAATGTTATACCCTAAGCAACCAGTGTTCGATTCAATCATTACTCATTATAGTCTACAAAATTACTGCAGAGAGAGAGAGGTTATGGAAGATTCTGGTTTCTCAATTTTAACTCTCTCAATGAAGCCAAATAGGGACATACTAGCAGTAACAAGACAATAGCAGTAACTGACAATCTCAAATATGACAGCGCAAAGAATAGTATTTGTTCCAACAAATCTCCCCTCATCCAACGAGCACATAATAACAAAACAAGATGCAGTACAACTTAAGAAGCATGTAAAAGATGACACATATATGAACTTTGACAAAATTTACGCACACAACTGGCGATTAACCTAACAAAAAAGAGATGATACTGAAGGAAGATGCTTCTGAAATAATATTTTCTCATTTCTAACTTTTGTGATCTTAAGATAATATCAATCATAGTGGAAACACTTGATAATTCTTCAAGACTACCAGTTACAGTAAGCGCATAACAGACCAGAAAGAGTACCAACAAGAACTAGTGGAAACCAGTGAAGTCTACACTCTAGAGAAGGAAAGAATTAGTTTCACAATGTAACGACAGACATTTTGTATAACCTAGTATCTGTATAGAAAGAAATCATCTTCCTGCAGATGGCTACCTACAATTTATAGATTTTATAATCTACTGAGCATTTCATACTTGAAAAATCACACCAAATAACCCAAAAAGAAAGAAGTTGAACATACCAATTCCATATATAGAACCTAAAGTATAATCCCCGGACAGATCTATATTACCAAATCACAATTTTGATCTAATCATAAATGTGTCTCAATTCATTACCCAGAGGTAGATAAGAATCTTATACGTAAGATTGTTATGAAAACCATAGACACATGAAAAATGCAACCAGTGGTGGGGGTAGTAGTTGAGAAGTATGGTTTTATGGAATTGGGATGGAGAACTAGAACTATTACAGTTCCATTTGGATGTAGCATGTGGAGGAACAAAATGAAGGGGTGGGAGGACTTCAATGGTAATATCTTCTTTAGGGTTGGGGATATTAACTTTTGGAATCACAAGTGGTGCGGGGAAGACTCCTTGAGGATTTCATTCCCTAATTTGTACAAAGTTTCGAACCACAAGGAATTGACAAGGAATTGACAGTCCATTAGATTCGGGGAGCGTGACGGGAAGTACTTTGAGATATGACGTTTAGAAGAAATCTGCAAGACTGGGAGTTGGGAGAGTTTCAAAGGTTAGTGGAGCTACTTTACAAGCAAATCAGACCTCACTTTAATAATGACTCATGGAGATGAGCGCTAAAAAGTGATGGTTTGTTCACAGTCAAATCTCTCTACCAGAGTTTGTTGGTGAGGAGACACACTTTCAACGTTTATCTATATGGATTCCTAGGGCACCTCGGAAGGTGTGCGTTTTTGCATGGTTAGCAGCGGGAGGAACGATTTTGACAGCTGAGAATCTGAGGAAGAGAAACATTACTTATGTCAGTAGGTGCTACATGTGCAAATGTTCGGGTGAAGAAGTTGATCATATATTGGTGCATTATAGAATGGCATTGGGTTTGTGGAGGGTGGTCCTGAATTACTCTGGTGTACAATGGGTGACGCCAGGTACTGGTAGAGATGTGTTGCATAGCTGGGCTGGTAGACATAGTAGAAGACAATAAAAGGCATGGAAGGTTGCTCCGTTAGCTGTTATGTGGGTCGTATGGAGAGAGAAATAGGAGAGCTTTTGAGGGGATTGAAAATGATTTTGTATACTTGAGGAATAGCCTTTTGTCTTTGATTGCTTTTTGGTGCACCCTTGAAATTCCTACTTGTTTAGATGATTGGGTGCCTTTCATAGAGAATCATGTTATGTTGTAGATTCACTACTTTTTGGTATACCTCTTGTATACGGGAGCCTTTCCCAATTTGTTAATAATACCATTTACCTTATCAAAAAAATGCAACCAGTGGCGGGATAAGTTATACTGCCCTCTGTAAGTGTGAAAGAGCCTATACTCTTATTTAATTTCCTTCCTTTCATTTTTGTCATACCAAGTCCATTTAGTTCTTAAAAACAGCTTGCCAATCCTTCTCATTTTGTAGAATCCTTCATCAGTAGTAGTGAATAGCTGATTATTCCATATTGTCCACATCCATCCAGTGGCAGAGAGTCAAGGAGATTGATAAAATAAAAAATCTAGTCCTATTTACGTCTCATATTTTATTCTCTTACAATAACATTGTTCAGAATGACATACATTGAACACTTGCAAAAGCACCTGGATGGTAGATTGATGGATAAAATACTTCTTAGACTCAGAAAATGATCTACTCAGCACAGGGCATACCTGTACAAGCTGGTTGTATATCGCATCATGACAAAACAAGGTCTGGACTTGAGAATTGAAGCCTTCTATCTCAGTTTCTTCCAGCTCATCCTCAAGGTTCATAGCTAAAACACGTGTCTCGCTAATGAAGCTAACAACCAAGAATGTGTCATACGGATCATCAGTAGCTGATCTAAGAGACCACATTCCTTTGATCCCTTGTAGTTCCACAGACGCCTGTAAGTAGCATCGCATATAGATCAAGTTATTGTAGCAATAGGAATACATAAAAATAATTCACTCAAAAATACTTTAAATGACAAGACCTGTTCATTTATTCCAATTCCATTTCGAACAATACGAAGTGAGCCATCCTTATAGGCTCCAGAGCAAGTCACGACCTGACCTTGACCTTGCCTCTCCAGGTCAACAACACAGAAGTCCACAATTGGTCCCAAATTGACATATCTCTCTAGAACTTCCACATAAGAACCTTTGGCATCGGGCTGGAGATTGAGCTTTACGAGCTGAACGTGAATTCAAAAATATTAGTGGAACTGCGAAAAATGAAACATGTAATGTGAAGCACCAAAGGAAATAGGCAACCAAAATTTAAAACCTCAAAGTTCCAATGAATCAAAAGCTACTATACAGAGATTTACAAAATGGGGATGTAGAAACCAACTTACTGCACCAATATGCACTCATATAAGTAACCTGAGACTCATAACACTTCAATTAAATAATGCAATGCGAATACAGCAACAGATAAAATTCCTATAAGTCAGATCAAGTTATGAAATCATCAACCAATATTTATTACAACTATTCTGACCTCTTAGCAAAGAACCTCCTTCAACTCTATGGTGTTAATTAAACATAAAACTACATCCAGATCGAGATAAATCTAGTTTGTTTAGTAAATGTAACACAAGAATTTTCACATTACAATGTTAAACGGTTAATTGTGAGCAAAATGCTTCATCTAAAGTCAAGCGCAATTTGAAACCTATGGCAAGTTAATTTTTTTAATACCCTCTATCTAATGAGATGAATTTAACATTTGTATTACAGTTTAAAAGTAGATTCTATTAGTAAAATCTATAAGCCAATTGCTAGTCAAGTAGGTCACATTTAACCTCGGGTTAATGGTATACCGTCATACATGCAAACTTAGCAGAAAATAAAGCACGGAAGGAATATATTTCAAGAAAAAACTGCAATCTTTAAAATTCATGCAGGCTTAGTGAAAGATCGAGCACAATGGAAGAAAAATGTCAACACACCCGATATCAACTAGTCAGGAATAAGATTTATAGCGCATTTGGCCAGGCTGCAAAAATCAGCTTATTTTGAGAAGTGCTTTTCTTAAAAGTACTTTTGGTGAGAAGCAGTTTGTGTTTGGCTAATTAGTTTGAAAAGCACTTCTGAGCAGCAATTAGCGTTTGGCGAAGCTTTAAAAAACTGCTTCTAAGTGTATTTTTCTCAAAAGTGCTTCTCAAAAAAGTGCTTTTGGAGAAAATCTACTTTTTTCTACTTCTCCAAAACTGCTTATGCTTCTCCTCAAAAGCATTTTTTTTCCTTCTAGAAGCTTGGCCAAACACCTCAAATTGAGGCCAAAAGTGCTTTTGGCCAAAAAAAAAAAAAGCACTTTTGGCAAAAAATAAGCTTGGCCAAACAGGCTATTATTGTTGGTAGTTGGTACAGTCACATTTGTCCAATATTTGCTAGGATCAGTTATTATCATGTTAGGGGAGTTCTAGGCGAGTAGAAATGTTGAAAGCTTCTAGGGTTAAAAGGACCTAATTCATTTAACATTGGAACGCGAGGCGTAGTGAGGATTTAGGTAGCCAACTCCAACTAGCTTGGGATTGAGGCTTAGTTGTTGTATAATGATACTTAACTCACTAAGCACAAATAATTATGCAATTCAGATAAAACGTGCATAGCAAAGGGTACATATTCCTTTTCAATCCACAAGATGAAACAAGCAATGGCACGTAGGTATAAAATTTCACATTAGTTTAAACTTTAATTCAACAGTTTAAAGTACCTGTGAATCTCCATAGCTTGACCCAATGAAGACAAAAGCATTGTCTAGGTATGATATGGTTGATGCAATAGAAGTTTCTCCCAGTAGCTCAATTTTGAGTCCGGTAACTCTGGGAAGTAAGATTAAATCTGCGTTAAAATTTTTATTCCCAGCAACTAGGCAAAGATACAAGACAGCAGTTTGGTCCCAGCAATTCAGCAAAAGAATAAAAGACATAGTCCAAAAAATGCTGACTCACTTTTCCTTTTCATGAGTGATTACAAGTAGCTGAAGAAGCCCATTGTGATCCCCAAGCAAATATCGAGAACCATCAGCATCAACCCGCCCATATGCTCTTGTGATGGACTTGAAAGGATAAATAAAGCATTGGTGAGACAATATCTCATTCATATATTTAATTAACAGCTTCTGTGAGAACGATTAGGTAAAACCTTTTAAAGGGCTTATTCGGTCGAAAAGGCTGGGGTGGTTGTACACAAAACAAAGAAAATTAGTAAGTTATACATATGCTTACAGGTCTAATTGGGATAGCCTTAAAAGCTGAAGCGCTACAGTAAACTATGGTTTCTTCTCCAATAATCAGTACACCACACAGTGGCGGAGGTACTGGTATTAGCAAAGAAGCTCCATTATCGAGATTATTTTGAGCCCATGGCCCTTCAATAAAATCTTTATCCTTCAACGACACCTCATACGTTTTGACATGTCGGGCGTCCTTGTTATCCTGCCAATCAAACGTAAAGGTCCAGGACTAGCATCAGAATGAAGTAATTTAAACACAGAAAGAAGACACCACCATGGCAGTTGTGCAAATTTGGTGGTTCAAACTCCCTCACCCTCCATATCTTGGTTTTTAAAAAAGAAAGTGCACGACGTCATTCTATAACCAAGTGCTAACAACAAATCCAAGACTTAAGGGGCCAATCAAATTCCCAAGATGATATGAACAAAAGTTTTTACCATAATGACAAAATGAAAATGGTAAGTTAAGCATTATGGCTCTAAATCATTTTTAAAACCACAGACCTGATATAGAACAACAATTGTAGGCTTTGGGCAACCATATAAGAATTTAATATCCAAAACTTGAAGCTCCTCAAGCCTGGAAAAACCACAAAACAATTAACTATCGGTCAAAGAAGAATAGCTCCCATGAGTAACAACTTGAGATCCCTGGTGAAACGGTCAGACCTACTATTCAGCAATTCTCCTATATAAAGTGTACGATACACTTCTTAGGAGCATAATTCAGATAAATGATCACTACCAAAAGACATGATGGTAGGTTGATACACTAAATGAGGTCACACCAGGTGTATTTCCAGCTTTGCCGAGACCAACCACAGGAAATGATGCAATAGAGAAAGAACTTCAGTTTCTTAGTTAGAAAAACTTAAATAAAGAGAACTCAAAGTGCAGTAATAAATATTCAAAAATGAAAGCAGCAGTCCAGAAATCCTTGAAACTTTACATCTACAGCTTCAATTTAAATAAGGTTACGGGAAACAAACATAAAAAGGTGAAACAAATGAATTTTGGAATGCCATCACATACAGAAAGGAAGATTGCTATGAATTGATCTGCTGAAGGACAACAAACAATTTCCCTTTCCTTTCCCCTCCCCCTATATATTAAAAAGAATTTAACAAAAAGGATAACAAGCAATTGGTTTCTACAAGTTCGCTTCCTGAAGTCATGACCTGGATCTTTTTATAACTAAGGTACTTGCTAGCTCCCACCAGCGCAAGTACTAGGCTACGACACGATAACCCTGCCGAACAAGGCTAAGGCAGATAGGAAGATATCACCTATTTTTTGCCTCTTCTGGAATTTGAATCCTCGTCTCCTATGACTTTACCACTCATTGACCGCTTGGCCACACCCTTGAGTGTGGTCCTTACTTGGATTGTTGATTTTAAGAATGATGTCACTATTGTTCTTTTTCTTTGTTTGCTCCTACAGATACAGCATCCATGCACCCTCATATCAATCCCACAGGCCTCATCCATTATAATTTAATGACAGAAAGGAGCATTTAGCAACTAGGCAGGTAGATATGAGTAGGTAAAATGGTCCGGCTCAAGAAAAGTAAACTGACTCAAGGGCTAGAGAATATTTAGCAAAAGTAGAGGACGTTACTTCATTTAAGGAGAAAATTGTAGATAAGTTAGCTTCACAATCTTGTAAAGGTAGATCTGAGGATACCTGATGTTAAAGGCTTCCTTCAGTTGGCCTTTGTTATCAAATGGAATAACCTGTTGACAGTGAAGTCCAAGTGAATCTTTTGCAAAAATAAAGATACCACCACAGAAGCTAATCCAGCAAACATTATACGTCTTGTAATGACAATACCTTAAATAGTCCATCATAAAGATGCAACCCGATCAATCTGCAGTCTGGGTCGATTATACCAATCTACCAAAAGAAAGAAATAGGGTAAACAACAAATATAAAATAGGGTATTGACTCATTGACCAAATGAGAAATCAAAAGATATATAATACCAGTTTGATCCTCTAAATTATAATAATATTTAAGGGCATTTCGAAATATAATACCTGACCGTTATCGGTGGGACGGCCTATTCGATCTGAGACATCTCCCATTGCTCTACATAAAGGACACCAAAAGAAGGGAAGTCTTTGAATTTGAGAAACAAAATATATCCACTCATTAGAAAAGATATGGAGCGCACCGCTACGAGTACAAACAACAACATACCCAGTGTATTCTCCCAGGTGGGGTCTGGGAAGGGTAGTGTGTACGCATACCTTACCCCTACCTTGTGAAGGTACAGACATATTCTTGAAATAAAAATTAGATAAACATACTGCTGCGAGTAATGAAATAAAAATTAAAGAAAAGAAAACCTTCAGCAACTAGCAAAACCATAAGGCATATAAAAGCTAGACCAACTCCTGGTATTAAGTAGCAAGAATGTTTTGTGAATAAACAATGACATTTTTTTGGCTAACTTTTGAAGGAGTTTCCACAGAGACCAAACAAACTGTCAAGGCTTCTATAAAATGGTCATAAAGATGAAGTACACTGCACCATGATTCATGTATGTCAAGAGGACATATTCTTTTTCTTTTTTCTTTTGATAAGTAGGAGGATATAGTTCTATATACACATGCTTTCAATGGGGAGTTGGAAATCTAACTGCAATGGATTGTCAGATTTTATTTTTATGAAAAAACTTTTATATATTTAAATTAGGCATTTTAACCCACCAGGAAGAAACACAATTTTGCAGACTAACCTTGTGATAACTTCAGATGCCTCAGCATCCCATTGAAGGACACAGAATTTATATCGCTCCGTCGCAATGAAGAGAAAATCTTGTGTTTCACCCTGCCAGGATACCCAGGGAACACAGTTTGACATATGGCTAAAGAAACTTTTTCCTTGTGTCCAATATATTTTGAAGGATAAAAATGAGCTACACAATAAAAAGATGTCAACTCACGTGGGGACGGAAAAGCTCGAGTGTCGCGATTCTCCCATATATTGGCACATCTAACATAGGCTGCAGACAAATACACTAAACTGAACTTAGATTTTGCAATATTCTAGAACCAAAGACACATCACGTTTATAGACAAAGAATATGATCTAATCAAAGCTTGGGACAGAAATAAGATACATTTACCAGAAAAAAGAAAAGAAATATAAAACGGTCAGCAAAAATACAGGTGAACTAAAGATTGCGAAAAGAGAAAAGGAGAGAAAAAAAATCTTATAATACAAAAGGCTCTTTATATAGGACTTTAGGCTACTAGAAATAAGGATTAAATAAATAGATTATCTAAATACCAAGTTTCCTAGTATGACACAATAAAAACTAATATAAAATCTAGAACATGGTACCAAGTTGCATTAATCAATGTGATTCTTTGAGTTAACAAAGAATCAACTGACCAACATCAAGATCTTGAAGCGGAAACAATGATTAGACAGCCTGATTTCAAGACATGAACATATCTGGAGGTGTAGAACTCAATAATCAAGTGATTCAATAACAAGGTGAAAAATAAGATTCTGCATTACCAAATTTACTTAATCAAAACAAGAAAATACCAACTTCAAAACGACTTAAAATGTGATCCGGTTTTGAAGGGAAAAATGGGCAAATTTACAAATGGGATGGGCATTATTTGAAGAATCTTAACATAGAAGTTCCAAATGTCACCACTTATAATCAATTAACATGATAAAGAGGCACCATCAATTGAGAATAAAGATGAAAACTATCACCACCTTACTTGGAACAAAAGCGAGGATAAAGAAGAAGAAATAAAGTAAATTGCAAATGGTTGTTGTAGCAAAATACATGAACTAAGTTCTCTTGTTTGATGATCACAATTCCTATTCTAAAATGAAAGTAAAATCTTCGTTCTACGGGAAAAATATAATTAAAGTAAAAACCTACCAAGAAAAGGAAACAAGAAATCCCTTCCAGGAAAGGAACAATAAACCAACTTATTAAGGAAACAAGAAACTAGAAGTTAAATTTTTGGAAGGAAACAAGATGTCATATTCTCAGAAGGAATCTACAAACTTGAGCTTCTTGGGCCTCTTGGGCTTCTTAAAAGCAAGTCCACATGTTTGAACTTGGGTTATAAACTTGACCTTGACCAAAATTCATAAAACTCATCCTCGAGTATAAAAGCTCCACAAATGGCACAAGATTAGCGACACTCATGATCGAAGACACCCAATTCACCGGGCTCAAAGTTGCATTTCTCTAACTTCTTATAGAGCATCTTCTTGAAGAAAGTAATTTTAGCATGTGGCCGAACTACAACTCACTTTTATAGTTGTAACTAATTTTTTCCGAGGAATCCTCCTAAAGTGACTATCAAACTTCAAGTCAATCTAAAGTTATCTCTATTGGAACCTTATGAAGCTTAACAATCTCCATGTTCAACTGTAACCTGGGGAGCATACATGAAAACCTTTAAATTAAGCATGGATCAAGGAATATCTTCTTGAGAATAGATCAACAACAATATTTGTAGTCACATATTTAAAACATATTGTAGCCACTGATTGTAATATTGTAGAGAGTTCTCTTGTCCACACATTCTTGCCAAGATCCATTCTTTTAAGGCACTAAACAGTTTGAAACTAAATAGATGCTCAAACTCTCCCATGTTGGCTACTATACCCCTTGTCCTTGCAACTCTTCATTGAAATATGGAATTATGTAGCTTGCTACCTTGTAAAAATGCAGTCGAAAATCAATCAATATTATGTAGAATCTCATGCATGGGTGGATACTCATGTGCACCCACTTACAAAATCACATCATCAAATCTTAGGTAACTTCTCAACTTGTGGATTTAACACATGCTCCTTTTTTTTGCATTTCCCTAGCCACGTCAATGTTCCAAAGGTTCTTTGTTGATAGGACCAATTATTTGCGATTTGGTCATTAAGAAATCATGCGTAAATTGGCTCAAGTTAGTAAGTTCTTCTGCATGCAATGATATCAAAACTAATATTTTTCGTAAATAAATACTCCCTCCATTCCAATTTATATGACACACTTTCTTTATTAGTTTGTTCCAAAAGAACAATACATTTCTACAATTGAAATCAATTTAACTTTAAACTTTTTATTTTACCCACTTTACCCTTAAGGTGAAACTTCTATAACCATACAAATGTCAGGGCACCACAAAGCTTTTACCCTTTAAGCTTCTTTAAGAACCACAAGTTTCAAAAGTTTTTTCCCTCTTAAACTTCGTGCTGAGTCAAATTACCTCATATATATTAAAACAGAGGGAGAAAGCGTCAAGGTACCCACCATGATAAGCACACCTATCATACTTCTGCGGTTTGGCAACAATAGACGACAAACATCCATATGCATAACATCACACCAAATAGAGTTCTTATATATTTATTTTTTTAAAGTTGTTGCCATGTGACCAGGAGGTCACGGGTTCGAGCCGTGGAAACAACCTCTTGCATAAATGCAGGGTAAGACTGCGTACAATAGACTCTTGTGGTCCGGCCCTTCCCTGAACCCCCGCATAGCAGGAGCTTAGTGCACTGGGCAGAGTTCTTATGTAGTCTTCCAACAACAAAAAGAACTAGGTATCGATGAGTTATCTACAAACATCAACATTCTGAAGCAATTATCCTGTAAAGGTGTTTTTGAGGTTCGGTTGGCAAACTAAGTTTAGTTACCGTCTCAACAACATATATGCAACTTCCACCATCGACGATCACCGAGCAAACCTTTTTATTACAAGTACTGGGTGTGAAATAATCTGTTATAAACTGGATGATCTTACCTTCTTGTTCGATCACAAATTATTATCTCTTCCTCGTTGAGCTGTCTCAAGCAGTCACATAAAAGGAAATAACTTCTTAACCCTTCTCATCGGTCTTAAGTATTCCTCATCTTTCTGCCTCTCGTAACATTAGAGGTTCCACCGTAGTTCACTTGGGCTTTTTTAATAACTTCCATCTTTTCAACCCAGCATCCTTTTTTCATTCCATGAGTAGATTATCAAGCATGCTTTAATACCAAATTTATGTGATTCTTTCGGCTAAAAAAATCAACCATGATCAAGATCTTGAATTGGAAACAAAGGTTGGGACAGAATGATGAAACAAGCGTATCTCAAGCTAAAAGACTCGAAATCATTCAAAACAAAGTAAGATGAGATTATAAACTATCAGATTAACTAATTACTCGTTAGAAACAAGCAAAAACTTGAGAACAGCTTAAAACATGAGATGGTTTTGCATGGTCAAATAGACAAACTTGCAAATGTGATGGGTGTTTATCTAACAGGTCACCATTTGAAATCAACTAACGTGGTAAAAGAACACCACATGTAACACAATTGAGAATTGAAACCACATAAGTGCACAAAATAATAATAATAACTATAAGGCGAAAAAAATCTACAAAATCATTTACTCCATCTTGAAAATCTCTCACGTACATTTCCTTTCTCTCAAGGATTCACTGATAGATGGATGGGTCGCATTCATCCTCTAATCTTCTTTTTTTCTTCTAAAGCCTAGTTTAACATCATATCCTTGCATGTAGCTAGCATTACTCACTTAATCCAAACTGATCCAATATTTTCTATCGTAATTGAGTAGCCAAAGTAGTCAACATTTTCTTCCAGTAATTGTACACGTTAAACCAAATTTTTAACCGTACAAATAGGTCCCTTTGATGTTTGCCAAGTGGGGAAAAAACATACCTTTCTGAAGGCTCTAACGTGTCCCTGTTCTTGGTAGTCTATGGGGGAAAGACTACATCTAGAAATTCAACTATCTTCACATTCCAATGCTAAGCAGCTTGGTTTGACGATACAATGTTTTGCTCATAGAGTAATTTCATGAGGTACTGAAACTAGTTTTTCCTAAATCTCAATCTCAAACAATTTCACAGTCTTGTAGCTTAAGTACTTGAGCAATTGTCATAGCTTCTTGGCTTCATATGCTAAAGACCACGAGAAGGCGTTGGTGAGGGTATTTTCTCCACAATACCTAAACTTCCATATACTGATCATGTTTCTATCTCACTTTAAACATGATTTTGCACAAAATTCTTCCAACCCTCCATAGTATTTCTCCACACTCAGCACCAACAAGGCAACGAGATGGTTCACTCTTCCAACCCCCTCAACCCAATCCTCTTGGAAACCTTATTATTCAATTACTACTCTCCAAAAACTTCGCACCTCATTGTCAAATCCACTTCACATTGAGGCCTTCATATTGTATTGCAGATATGACCACTTTCCAATTCGCCAAGTGAAACTATTTTGTCTCATCCTTAGTATCGCACTTAAGTTTCCTCTCAAAATCGACTTCCAGAAACGCTAACAAACGCATTAATTGACATGCAAGATGTCGAAATACTAAACATGCTCTTGATTAATACCTTCTTGCTTCCTTTAAACAAATAATTCTATTGTCATCACAACTTTTTCTACATATTTTCAATCACGGATTTCGTAGTGAGCAATCTTTTACATGACACTCCTAGTAGTAAGTCATAAGAAATGTCCACCTAGTAATTGACCACTAGTGCTGGAAAACCATGCCAAATATATAATTTTCATAAAGGATATTACGAAGGAGTCTCAGTGTGATAACCACAAAAGAGATACACAATTTCCTATAACTGCAAGTTTACACTAAAAATCTAGAACCTTTACATGATTAACCTAAGAATGTTCTAAACAAAAACATGCTAAATGAGATTCCAAAGCCAATCGACAAGTGATGTACTAATTGAAAACAATAGCGAGATCATTATCAATCAAAACTTGGAACTATGGTGAGGCACCGAAAAAAGAAAGCAGTACAATACACACACACACTGAAAGTTTAGCTTCAATAAGACAAATGGTTGTGTGATGACACTGGACATTGTAGCACCGAAATGCAAATATTTAAGATATTTAAGCTCGATCTTTCAACATAATTGTATGATAGATTAAGATGTAACAATATAGAATTAAATAGTATATGCAACTTGAAGGCATATACTCTTCTGGGTTTAACCATTCAATTAGGCTAATCGCAATTCACTTTTTCTTAAATTTAAATGACCCAATGTTCACTTATTTCCTGATTAAAACAAGGGATATTACACTGAGGATACTGCAAGTGTTCAAGTCATCCAATGTACCAACTGATTTTCTTTTCAACTGTTCTATAGAACAACTATTTATATCATTTTTCTGAAAAAAGAACTGTTGGTGTCATTCTTTCTTCTTTCTTTTCCCAAACCAAAAGAGTACACCAGAATTAACCTTCCATTACTAACTTGGTAAGCTCCAATTTAAAACAGGCGTCAGAATTGGATAAATTATGCCCAAAATATGAGTAATTGCTTCAAAGACATAGAGACATGTCAGCCAAAACAAGGAAAACTTGTTCACCTGTAAGCCTTGGGGAGTGAGTAAATGAATCTCGATTCGAGTACATTTCCTAATAAAAAACAAAATTGAGTAAAAGAATTAACAAATTAGTAACCAATTTTCACACAAAAATGAATAAATTAAGAAAAGAATACAAAAAAGAAAACACTCTGTATTTAATTATCAAAGCCGACGAACTACGGATTGTAAAACCCAAAAATAGTGAACTCAGAAATGCAAATTAACAATGGGCCGACCCACCAGGAAAGCCCCAATACTTGAGCACAGTAGTAGGTACAATTGACTAGAAAAAAAGTACTCTACAAATAAAACAAGCGAAAACCCACAAACAACTATAGCAAATAGGCAAAAAAAAAAAGGAAAATAGGAAAGCTAGGGCACACGTACGCAATGATAAGATTGAGCTCGTGAGGAGCGGTGAAATTGCCAACACAGGAATGTGTAGCGTTCGTTGGCTTGTGAGCCGTAACCACATAGTTCCATATACTCATCTTGTTAACTTCTTCTAGATATCGAAATCCCGCGCTACGCGTACGAACCCTAAGACCCTTTTTGTATGTATAGGACAGTCGTGAGTTCAATCAGTTGAAAATAGAGAGTTTTGAAAGGGGGGAAACGAGACACCGCATTTATATATATCGACGGTGAACTTAGTGAAGAGAAACATCTATCCTCTGGACTGATTGTACACCGAAGACCAATACGATGTAGTTATTAGTTAAAATAGGCCACACAGGCAACCTAAAATGAACACTTTGGGCTTTTTAGGGCTCCCGCCACAAAAATGGCTTGGTCTTTGGCGGAAAAACTTGCTACAAGTATCCTCAAAAAATTGTACGAGCGAACGCTTCCATTTAACTTATACTCATTTTTCATAAGTTTTAACTTATACTATATCGTTATTAGTTAAAATAGGGCACACATGCAACATAAAATGAACACTTTGGGCTTTTTAGGGCTCTCGCCACAACAATGGCTTGGTCTTTGGTGGAGAAACTTGCTACAGTATCCTCAAAAAATTACACGGGCACTCTATTTGAGCGCCCTCATTTAACCTATACCCACTTTTTTATAAGTTTTAACTTATACGATGTCGTTATTATTAAAATAGGGCACACATGCAACATAAAATGAACACTTTGGGCTTTTTAGGGCTCCCGCCACAAAAATGGCTTGGTCTTTGGTGGAGAAACTTGCTACAGTATCCTCAAAAAATTATACCCACTTTTTTATAAGTTTTAACTTATACTCACCTTTTAAATAACTTCAGACCTCTTTCTCTTCCTCTTCTCCTCCTCCTCCTCCTTACAGTGATTTTATATGGTATCGTAAATATATTTTTAAGGTAATTTATGATGTTTTATAGTATTGAGTTGTTATGACACTTTATTTTTACTATTTCTTAGGGTTTCTTCTTCTTCTTCTTCTTTTTCTTAATTGCAAAATGGGTTCAATAGATTTATTATTGTTTTTGACAAATTGATGATCGAGGTTTGTTCATGTTAATATTTGGAGGCTATGTTTCAAATTTGAGCTTATTTGGAATAGATTTAGGTATTTAATTGTTATAATTCGAAGAATAAATTTCTGTTTCTTAGCAATTCGCACTTCAGGCCTATTTGACCTTAATTGCATGAAAACGTTGGTTACATTTCAGACTTTTTTGTCTTAAGTGCATGTGAAGTGCAATTTTTCACTTCAGACTTATTGGCTTTAAGCGTAGCAAAACGTTTGTTGCACTTCAGATGCTTTCGCCTTACGTGCATCTGAAGTGCAATTTTTTACTTCAGACTTTTCGGGCTAGGATAAATGGGACGATCTGTTAGGTTCCCATCTCACTAACTATTGGTACGGGACGAGACGTGGGCCTTAAGTGGACCTTTTTTAAACAAATTTATTAATTTAAATATTTAAATACTAAAGTTGGTAATGGCTTTTTTTTTAAAGTTAGTAATAGTTATTTTTTTAAAGTTGGCAATGGCTAGTTTTTTTAAAGTTGACAACGACTAGTTTTTAGTGAATTTAAATTTAATAAATTATAAAGAAGCTAAGTAAAAAATTATAAAATATTAAAATAAAAGACTTATAATGAAATATTTTAGTAAATATAAATTTTTTGCAGGATCACTACCAATGGGGCTTCAGAAAATAAATTACAAGAACACCAGTCCTGGTCAGTCATAATGTTAATAGTATACCCTAAACCACGGTCCTCCTCACGACTCTTCAATGCCCATCTTGGCTAAAACGAGTCCACTGAGAACCACCGAGTAAGTTGCCCTAACCAGGGTTTACTGTTAGAATTAGTAACTGTCTGGGCTATATAGTTCTAACCTATAGCCTTATTAGGTGATACTGTATTTAATAATAGAGCATGCTCGTAAATAGCCTATGGATACTAATAATTTATTTAATATAATCTCATGCGACAAAAGTAACTAAGTAAAACAATTCATACAAAAATCCAAGGGTAAAGCCTTTTAGTATATTTAATAGAAATTTTAAATTTTACACACAAATACAAGTCTTTTGAAGAATACCTAATCTACGCAGTCATCTTGTAGGAAGGGTTCTGTTTGACCTTGGCCTTTAAGTAGTTAATTAAAAATTATCATACTAATATATGTAAGCTCATATATAGCTTTGTTCTAACTTTCGTATAACATCTATAGGAAGTTCCTCTGAAATTGGCAATATCACTTGATATTCCATGAGTTCCATGTCATCATCGCGCCCAGTACTAAGTATCTCATTGTATTATTATTCTTCCTTAGTACTTATTTTTTTCTAAATCAAGATTTCTTATTTCCTCATGAATTCAATCTATGAATAAGATGGAAATCTCTAGGCTGTCCACCGCTAATGAATGTTTATAGTCTCCGATTTGAAATCTTGCCCTGCTAAAAGCACTCTCCTAAGCTATTGACGATGGTTGAATAGTCCGGACATCTCAAGATACTTTTGAAAGTATTAGAAATGCCTTGCCACGCCCCTTCCACCATGCCAAAAGCTGCTCCTTGCCTTCTTTGTCGTTAATAGGTTCCAATCCCTGATGTTCATTTTCAATAGTACAATCAAGACCTATTAACTCCTTCATACCTTCCCACACTTCATCTTTTACTCTAGCCTAAGAAGTTGTAGGAACATGTACCCTATCTGAAGTTGTCATATTTTTATACTTATCAAATATTAGTTTGGTGTGAACGTATATACTAGCTTGGCAATCTTCGACAATTGGCTTTTCATCTTTTGAAATTTCTAAATTCTCATAAATTTTACGAGCAAGTCCCTTTGCACATCTTAATTTTAAAGATCGATTATATATAATATAAATAAAATAAACTTGGGGAATAGAAAAAAAATACTTTTTAAATTGTGAAATAAATTCTTTGATGGTTGGTGCATAGTTATTATTTTTTTATACTTAGCAAATACAACCGAAATTCTACAAATATACCATAATATTTTTGTAACACTTGGTAATAGATACCAAAAAATTATTTTGTAGCATAATAAATAGCTTTTAAAAGTTTAGTAAGCTCATGAATTTCATCCCAATCAGACTCAATAATTTGATCAGCATGGTTAGCATTATGTGCATTAAATATTATTTGCATAGGCAACTGATAAACATAAACAACTTATAGCATTTTGTAAGTAGAATTCCACCTAATACAAATATTTTTGGAATTTTTCTAAATGAAAGTTCAATATATGCTCACCGATCTTTAAATTCACAAATTCTAATCACTTTATTAGCACAAAAAATATATGCATGAGCATATTATATTTTAGCACAAGAATCAAAAAATAAATCAACACCATTTTTATAAACAAGTTAAAAATATGGCATGCACATCTAACATGAAAAATTGAGTTATTAAATGTCACGACCCAAATCCTAACTCGTCGTGATAGCACCTATCGTAGTACTAGGCAAGCCGACATTTCCAAAATACTTCCAACATTTAACAGAAAATGAATTAAAAAATTTTAAATAGTCAGAGTTTTCATAAAATGGGGTAAAAACCCAAACACAAGTGCTGAAAATAGCTCCCAAATCAGGGTGTCACTGAGCTCATGAGCGTCTATACAACACCGATCTAGAAAAGAAATATCTTCAAGAGTCTGTATCAAAGTACAAATAAAGAAAGATAAGGAGGGAGAAACAAGGACTACGGACACCGGGTAGCTACCTCGTAAATCTCTAAAGATCAACCGTGCACGATATTAATGCTCACCGTGTCCGAAAATACCTGGATCTGCACACAAAATGCAAGGTGTAGTATGAGTACAACCAACTCAGTAAATAACAATAATAAATAAGGAACTAAAAGATAGTGACGAGCTACCGCAGTTATAGTTCATTTTTAGTAATCTCAACAAGAAAGTAGGAATGTTTTCAAATCCAACAATTTAAGTTAATTCAGTTTATACAGTCCAAGTTCAAGTAAAAATCAGATATAAAATCTCCCATCAATTTCAAAACAGTGACATATAACAGCTATATGCAACAACAATGAAAGCAAATACAGGCTCTCAGGGCAACAGTCACTCAGTCTTTCTCAATAGCTCATAACTTGGCTCTCAGCCCTCAACGCTCACTCTCAATAGGTATCTGCGCTCACTAGGGGTGTACAGACTCCGAAAGGACTCCTTCAGCCCAAGCTATATCACTGCAGCATGCAGCCCGATCCATAATATATAAATAGCCATAAGGCTCGTGGCGGCGTGCAACCCGATCCATATATATATATATATATCATGACCCAAGTTATCCCTTCGTGAACCGTCGTGACGGCACCTAGTCTCTACAACTAGGTAAGCATAACATTTGCGGAATAATAAAATGATATTATAGTTTTAACAACTAACTGTAACAGAACAATATAACTGAATATCATGCCGCTCGGCATGTACAATAACCAATTACTTAGAAATACACAATATGCCCAAAATCCGGAATATCATGAGTGACAAACTACAGAAAGAAAATAGTAACTCTATACTCCAGAGTCTAACAAAAGGAAATACAGGAAGTGTTTGACATGGGGAAGAGTAGAATGGGACTCCGAGGTTTGCGGACGCGGCAGATATAACTTGAACTCTCTACAACTAGATTGCCTCATTGTTACTGCGACTGATAAGCGGTACCTGGATCTGCACACGAAAAACATGTACAGGAAATGGCATGCGTATACCACAACGGTACCTAGTAAGTGCCAAGTCTAACCTCGGTAGAGTAGTGGCGAGATCAGGTTAGGGTCCTACTGGTATATATATAATAAAATAAGACAGAATGAAATATAGCAATAAAGATAAATACTAAAATTTAACAAGAATGAAATCATAAAAACAACAACTCATTACACAGAGATAACAACATGGGATCTCCCAAGATACCGCCCCGTAGTCTCAAACGTAAATATGCAGGAGGATCTATCGGAATACCGTTATGTAGTCCCAAAGTAAATATGCAGTACAGGGGGATCTACCAGAATACCGTTACGTAGTCCCAAAGTAAATATGCAGAACATGGGGATCTACCGGAATACCATTCCGTAGTCCCAAAGTAAATATGTAGAACAGGGGGATTTACTGGAATACCGTTCCATAGTCCCAAAGTAAATATGCAGAACATGAGGATCTACCGGAATACCATTCCGTGGTCCCAAAGTAAATATGCAGCTCAAACAACGGAAATAACAGCT